AAATTTTAAAATGCCGCGTTTGCCCGCGCTTTAGCGGAAATTCAATATGGCGCCGGAATTACCCCCTGGCTTATTGCCACACATTCGACCGGGCGCCGTTCTGTGGTCCACAGACTGGATTTAACGGAACTTTATTCGAAAATGCATTGCACCGTCATAAAAGGTGTTGGATCTTATGATCTTTGGGTCGCTGATTTCATTTTACATCTTAGTTAAACAAAATATCAACATCCTGACCGAGAAACTTAACTTAAGGTAAATGTAATTTCTGGCGCTTTTAAGATTGAAGATTTTCTCCACCCCATTTTGACATGTAAAAAATAACAACAAAAATATCTCTCGGTCGAGATCAGGTGATTCTTACGGATATTTAGGCGGTAAATCCGAATATGACCTCCGTTTATGTCCATCACCCTTCAATTTTTCGGAAAAGCCGATTTTACCCGGGAAAGCTCGTTCTCCGATAAAAATTGAATTTTCCGGGATAATGAGGGGTGATAGGAAAAATCTAAGGTCATATTCGGGTTTAGCAAGTTAAAATACATAAGAATCGATATATCACACATCGAAATCATTCTTAAAATGTATTTTTAACATACTTAGAGTCCGGAAAAGGTTTTACCCAAAAGGCTCGGGAAAATCGGCATTATCGGAGAACTGGAGGGTGATAAATAAAACCTAGGTCATATTAAGATTTAGCAGCTTAATATATATAAATAACAGAATCTCTTTACCGCGGGTCCGGTATAATTCATCAACATGAATTGCAATTATGGCTATTATACGTCATAGAGCTTGATGCAAAAACGGCTTTTTTCGCCCCCCCTCTGGAAGTTCTTCAGACTTTGTCTATTGATTACTCATACTTGAGCGCTTCTTTTCCCAAATTTTCAGACCCCCAAAAAATTTTGGGGCGGAGCTAGGGGGAGTGGAAGTCAAAACCTGTGAACCTCGATATCTCTTGAACAAAGCAAGATATCGAGGTCCGGTTTGGACGAAAAATCGTCTAAAATTGCATACTTTAAGATTCTAAAGGTCGAAATCCCGATATCACATTTTTAAGTCAACATATGTGCTTTTTTCCAGTTTTTAGGTCTAGAAAATTTCTTTTAAACGAAAAATTTACAAAGATTTCAATTTTTTATTTGAACCAAAACCAGTTTTTTAAATTTTCGTCTTTGTCTGCATCCAACGAGTGGTCCATTAAGCTGGAGAACCAAACGGTTCCGGAGTTATGATCGATTGAAGTTTCCGCTCAACGGGCGCCGACCGATTTTCGCGCGCAAAAAAGTCGGATTTGACTGTTATTAGATCAGATTGAATGTTCAAACTGAGCAAAATGCTTTATTAGGGACTCTTGAGGGTCGCTAAGTTCAGAAATTACCGATACTTTCTAAAAATTAACATTTTTAAAATTGCAGCTTCGGACAGGACCACTGAGCGGCCGGTCGGCGCTCAGTGGGCCTCTAAAATAGCCCTGCGGAGCTGTAATTTTAAAAACGTAAATTATTTGGAAGTATCTGTAATTTCTGAACTTAGCGACCCTCAAGAGTCCCTAATAAAGCATTTTGCTCAGTTTGAACATTCAATCTGATCTAATAACAGTCAAATCCGACTTTTTTGCGCGCGAAAATCGGTCGGCGCGCGTTGAGCGGAAACTTCGATCGATCATAACTCCGGAACCGTTTGGTTCCCCAGCTTAATGGACCACTCGTTGGATGCAGACAAAGACGAAAAATTTAAAAAACTGGTTTTGGTTCAAATAAAAAATTGAAATCTTTGTAAATTTTTCGTTTAAAAGAAATTTTCTAGACCTAAAAACTGGAAAAAAGCACATATGTTGACTTAAAAATGTGATATCGGGATTTCGACCTTTAGAATCTTAAAGTAT